GAATCACTGCTCTGCCTCATCCATTCTTGCTGCCGTGGCATCATTTCAAAATTGCAGCTCAGTTATAGCATTTTTTATTTCATCCTGACTAGATTTTACTTCTTTTATCTCCATAGAAAGGGATTCTAATCTATTTTCAACCCCAACTAGTATTCCTATTATCATGACTCTAAATTCTGGTTCAGACATCTTGCTCGTATCTGTGTTGGTTAACTCCGTGGCTGTCATTTCTTCCTGCTCTTTCTTTTGGGGTGAATTCCTTCATTTCGCCATTTTGAAGGAAGAAAAGGAATGAATAAAGTAAAAAAAATTTTAAATTAAAAAATTAAAAACAACACACACACACACAAAATTCAAATAAATGACGTTAGATCCTAGGTGTGCTTTGGTCTGGTTGTTGAAAGGAGCTTGATAGATTAGAGAAAAAAGGAAAAAAGAAAAAGAAAAAAAAGGAAAACATTTGAAAATTTTAAAAAATGAATACAGTGAAATAGAATAATATGAAATGTTGGAAGTAAAATAGAGTGTGAAAGATTTACAAGAAAGTAAAAAATATAGTAGAAAAAAATTAAAGAAAAATATTTTTGGGAGAGAGCCAAAGCATAAGAGACTCTTAAAAACTGAGAACAAACCAAGGGTTGATGGGGGGTGGGAAGGAGGGGAGGGTGGGTGATGGGTATTGAAGAGGGCATCTTTTGGGATGAGCACTGGGTGTTGTATGGAAACCAATTTGACAATACATTTCATATATTAAAAAAAAGAAAAATATTTTTAATAAAAATTGAAAATAAAAATGATTTTTTTCTCTTTCTGTGCTTAAGAAAAAGAAAAGAAATGAAATGAAAAAAAAGAGAGAAAATTGAATAGATGGACCAGCGAACAGACTGAAATACGATTGAAATTACATTGTTTTCCCGGAGAAGTCAAACTGTGAAGCACTTTATAGTCCACAAACTAAGCAGGCAGAGAGAGTTGTGGTGTTCATGAAGAGCGAGGTTGACCCAGTTGGGCGCAGCTTAGTGTGATGATTCCATTCTCCACTAGATGGCGCTGCTTATCTTACTGGGGTGGTTTTGTTGTCGCGCTTGTAGGTGTCTATGCGCATGCGCCCGAGGGATGAAAATGGCGACACCCAGCTACCCAGTTTCTAGTATCTCTGTCCTCCCCGATCGGTGATCATACACCTGTCTTTTGTCTCCCGCTTCCAGTCACGCCCCACTTTTACACTCTCCGCGACCAAGCCATCAGGTTGCCAGGCAGCACCTCCCTCCTGAGTTTTATCTCAGATGCGGCTGTGTTTCCCGACCCCTTACTTCTGAGGGACCGTGGCTTTGAAACACTCAGACCTTCTGGGGGAGGGTCTCCGAGCAAAGGCCAGGTGCAGGCTGCACTCAGGAACATTTACGGGACCATGCTGCTGCCGACGCCCAGAGACTAAGGCTGGGTGCCAGCCCACCCCAGAAAAAGTTCATGCGATTGTGTAGCAGCAGCGTTTCAGGAATTATGGAAAATCACAACACACATCTGGCACCAGTCTTCACCCTTAACGACCTTCTTCCAGCACCAGCGAATGAGGCCATTCTCTGGGGTCTGCTGGGACCGGGTGGCCACACAGCTTCTACCAAATGTCCTTCCAGCAGGGGAACCTTGTCTCCCATGTGGCCCAAAGACCTCCGGACTTCACTCTGCTCCTGGGGATTCACCCTTCTCACCAGAGCACTGCCAGGTATTGAGCCGTGGTGTTTCAGACTCTGCACTCCCCCTGTTTATAGAGTCTTCATGGAATTTAAACCCTCTGCTTTCTCTTTTCTCCCTTTTTTGTTCAGTCCCTGCGGCTGTTTCCACTTTTCCACTTTCCCTCCAGCTGCTTTTGGGGGGTGATTTTCCCATACTCTCCCCTCCGTCTCCGTCCTCTGTCCGCAAGCAAAAACAGCTTCCTGCCCTCCGCCGCTTCTCTCTTCGTCAGTTCACCTCTCCTTGCCGCATACCTGCTGAGTTCTATGGTTCAGGTTGTGCAGATTGTTGTGTTAATCCTCAAATCAGTTTTCTAGGTGTGCAGGATGGTTTAGTGTTAATCTGGCTGTATTTCACGGACATGAGATGCAAAAAAGACTTCCATGCTGTTCTGCCATCTTTGCCCCTCCCCAGAAGTTATAAAAATTCTTAAATTCCCCTGCCTGTCTCTCTCCTCCACTCCATTGCCTATAACCCCATCCCCAGAAATACCATTGTTAACAGTTTGGTATATATTTCTATGTGCATTTTTCTACACATATATAAACATAGTTCTTAAATGAAAAGGATCATATTATCTGCATTGTTCTGAGATCTGCTTCTTAAAGCAAGTAGTAGTGGCCATCTCTTCATGTCAGTGTATGTAGCTTCACCTACTTTTACTCCTCCCACATGCCGGCCCACCATATGAAGATGCCACTGTTTCTTTGCAGTCCTCCATTGATGGCCATTTGTATTGTTTCAGTAGGGGGCAGTTTGGCGCTTTTATTCTATAGAACATGAGGGCCCCAAAGAATGTTGTTTGGCCTCAGCTTTGGATTGAGCATTTTTCTGAGTTTGCTATTGTTTGCCCTTATGTTTCCTCCCTTTTTGAGCTTGGTGGATGCTTCTCTCCTGCTGTTCCCTCTAATCCGACAACTACTCCATGTAAGGTATGTTTGTTGCTTTAAGGATCTCCTTACAGAGTCTAGGACTCTTTGGAGGAGGTAGGTTCAGCAAATAAACTATTGTTCTAATTTTACATTCTTATTCTAGAGGAATTTAGAGACACTGGAAGTTCTCTTGTTATCTGGGAATCAGCTTTAAAACCTCCTTGTGTTTTAACTGTGCTTTGCATTTCCCTTTAAAGAGCACTCTAGACAGAGATGAACTGAATATATTTAAATTGAAGGTATATCCTATAACTTCAAAGAGCTTATGTCTCCTACAGTCTGTTGGGAGGCAAAATTAGCTGGGAAACAATTAGAGACCAGTTGAGTGTTAATTATGTGTTACAAGCCCCTGGGCACCAGAAGTTCAGGGAAGACAGAGCTGGGGCAGTTTTCTGCTTTCAAGGGAAAAGCACTTGAGCTGGATTAGGAGGCAGGAGGTGACATTCAGAGAAGTCTAGGCAAGTGGAAGGCTTTTCAAGTACCTGGTAACTTTTCATACCTTTTTTTTTTAATCTTTTTTTTTAGTTTTTGTTTAGGATTTGCCTACCCACATGAGAACATTAGCTTGATGAGGGCAGGGACCGTGCCTTGTTCATTATTGAACACCCGGTTCCTGCAACAGTGCCTAGCACATAGTGGCTGGCCAAGGGGTACAGGAACAAATGAATGAAAGAGCAAATGGCCATAGCGTGTGTGCAGAACCATAAGAAAACTGGCCTATTTGGAAAGAAGGATGTCTCCTTGAGGACTGGGGGGCTCTCCAACAGATGAGCAGAGGAGCACCTACAAGGGCCTGCAGGAGATTCAAACCATGTGGTGAGTGAACCTAGCTGAACAACGTATGGAAGCCACTGACAACTGCAAAGTAGACCCTGTAGAGATTGCGATAGGGGACTTGAATTTGAAATTAAACTACAGCACAGACAAATAAAATTGTGCTCCACTGTGCTTGGTCAACCAACAGTTATACTTAAAAAAGAAAAAGGAGGGTCGCCTGGGTGGTTCAGTTGGTTAAGCATCCGACTCTTGATTTCAGCTCTGGCCATGATCTCACGTTTCATGGGATTGAGCACCATGTTGGATTCTGTGCTGACAGCACAGAGCATGCTTGGAATTCTCTCTCCTGTCTCTCTGCCCCTCTTCCCACTCACACATGCGTTCGCTCTCTCTCTCTCTCTCTCTCTCTCTCTCAAAATAAATAAATAAACATTTTTAAAAAAAGAAAAAAGTGGGCGCCTGGGTGGCGCAGTCGGTTAAGCGTCCGACTTCAGCCAGGTCACGATCTCGCGGTCCGTGAGTTCGAGCCCCGCGTCAGGCTCTGGGCTGATGGCTCGGAGCCTGGAGCCTGTTTCTGATTCTGTGTCTCCCTCTCTCTCTGCCCCTCCCCCGTTCATGCTCTGTCTCTCTCTGTCCCAAAAATAAATAAACGTTGAAAAAAAAAAAAAAAAAGATTTGTTCAGTCTTTGTTAAGAACCCAGTAAAATGTCAATGTGATCACAATACTTTTATTAATACTTACTTTTTAAGCAAATATGCTCATCTCATATTGAACCAGTTATTGGCCAAAACATGTTTTGCTTTGTTGTTGTTGTTGTTTTTACATAAACTATTGTTTTCTAGGTCTTTCCATCTCATACTTTTACAGTTGATTATTGGACCTAAATGCAGTGCGTCACATTCTTGGCACATCCTATCTTATTGATTTTAGACCATCTTTCACCTTATGGAATTCACTTTAAACCTTGATCCTATCATCAATCACAGTTATTCCTCTTAGCTGGGTGTAATCCATACAGTGATCTGCAATCCCCCAAGGATTTGGATGCCTCACCATAATTTGGAGAGCTCAAAGTGGCCAGGAAGCGTTTATGGGCTGACACACCATCAGCCAAGTGTAAGAAAGAAATGATGAGGGTGGAGTTGGGAAGGAGTAACTGCTGGAATTCCAGACTGAAGGCACATCAGCCCCTCCCGTTTAAGCAACCCAGAAAGGTTTCTTCTAGGAACCAGCATTTAGAAGTAAAAGGGGGGGAAATAGTTTGACATGTTTTGAAGCCGGCAGAATTTGAAGCCAAATTTTGGGGGTGAGAAAAGGATGAGCCCCTCACTCCCTGGTGGGCAGATGTCAACTTGACTTAGAATCGGGCTGTTTTGAATATTCTTCGCCTCTAGCTCTCAGGAATAGATCCTCAGGTGCCTGGGTGGCTCAGTGGGTTAAGGCTCAATTTCAGCTGGGGTCATGATCTCATGGTTCATGGGTTTGAACCCCAAGTCGGGCTCTGTGCTGACAGCTCAGAGCCTGGACCCTGCTTTGGATTCTGTGTCTCCCCCGCTCTCTCATGCGTGCTCTCTCTCCCTCTCTCTCTCTCAAAAATAAATAAACATTAAAAACATTTTTTAATAAAAAAAATAGACCCCACTTTGGTGTCGTAGGACGTTTCTCCCCACTTAGCCACCAGGTTTTTCACTAGAATTCTGAATCGCTGAGTCTCCTATGTACCTCTCCCTGCACTCTGCCTCTGCTGTAAAAATCAATTACAATTGGCTTATAGCTCCAGTTATGGGTACATGTTCCATCTGCTCCTAGCCTGCACACCCTCCCACTGCACCACTGCCCACTCCTCCGCCTCCCCCACTGAACCCCCTCCCCATTAACGCTATCTTCCCAAGCAGCTCAGGAACACAGATGTTTTCACCCCTCGCTCCAGCACAAGGGTATTTTCCCAGTGTCTCTGTGTGTATGCTCCAGGCACCGTCTCTCTGGGGAGGGAGAGAGTAAATGTTTTCATTCCAAACCCTCAGGGTCAGGTCTTGTTTGTCTAAACTGTGTTTGTTGCTGTAATTATCAGATTAGCTGATCTCTGGCAGCAAGTTGGGGGCCAGGGGAGGGGGAGTATTAACCCTTTGTAGGATGGTTGCTGTGCTCCATCCTGGGAATCCCTTCAGGGGCAGCTGTCATTTCTCTTCTAACCTGGAAGATTTGGCTAGAATTCTTTTTGCCAGCCTAATAAGCCTCAGTAATAGTCTCTGAGTTAGTCCAGTCATCCAATGGGCTCCACTGCTTGGATCCAAAAGGCATTTAGCAGAGACACGGGGTTGAAAGGACATCTCTCCCGGGATCTGCTGGGAAAAAAGAAAGGGAGCTTAAGGAGGATCTGGATAAGTAACTCAACAAAGGGTATGGGTATCTCTCAGTCCCAATAAGGAAGCCAGGAGTGTGCACTGTATGGCTTCAGCTTGTCCACCTACCACCACTCCCTTAGCATAAATGCAGTGAGACTATCCAGCCCCATTTAGGCTTGTTTGGGATTTTCTGTTGTTCAAAAAAATATCAAGATCATTTTTCACCACTGCTATTTAAACGACAACAACAAAAACAACAACAGCAACAACAACAACAACAACAACTCAGTTGTCTCACCTTGTTCAGCCATTCCCAAGCCTTTGTCATAAGACTCAAAAGGCTGGTCATGTCAAGGTTTTCTCATCTGCCCTCGCCTCCCACCCTCAGCACCACTGAACTTCTCTCTTGTCTCCAAAGATGCCATAAGCACAGAGATTGCTCTCTCCTCTCAACTCCAGGAGGAACAACTTCTTTGCATTTTCATTATCTATTTTACAAATGAATAAATCTTATCTCTTCAAACGGAGTGTATCCTTGAGTCCCACATGTTGGTCACCTGGTAAAGGACCTAAACATATAAATAGCTTAGTAAATACCTGTTGATAGCATTTTTCTAAATGTTTTTGCCATTTCTCACCCCTCAGTTCCTTTCTGTTTTGTGTTTGATTTTTTTTTTTGTTAGTTTGATTGTTTATTTCTGGAATGGTCCTCCAATTTTTACTCGTCAACTTAGTTTCCCCTCTTCACTCCAAACACACACACACAAACAGGGAAGCTAACATTTACGGAGTGTCTGTATACCTAGCACTATGCAAACTTATTCCATGTGCTTTCCAAATATCTTGTTTGACACTCAGGTTGGCTTGTGAGAGAAGTGCTATTACATAGAAGGAAGTCTAAGTTCAAAGGACTAAATCACACACACACACACACACTTCCACAACTGTAAGTGGTAGAATGAAGATTCAGTCCCAGGTATGTGTGACCCTAAAATGCACACAAACCCCATATTTCTAGCTAGGAAGTGGAGAAAAGTTCGTACAACTAAGGAAAACACACTTTTGTCCAAAACCTAACTAAAAACCAACCAATCTCTCAAGTACTTTTTCCCAACAAATATAACTATAATTATATCTATATTAAAAATAAAAGAAGGGGTGCCTAGATGACTCGGTTGAGTGTCCAACTCTTGACTTCAGCTCAGATCATGATCCCAGGGTCGTGGGATCAAACCCCAGCTCGGGCTCCACGCTGAATGTGTAGCCTGCTTAAGATTCTCTCTTTTCCTCTGCTCCTCTCCCCCAATTGCATTCTATCTCTAAAAGTAATAATAATAATAAAAAATAAAAGTAAATAATAAAAAACAAGAGAAACTTAAACCCAACAAACATTCTGAATAATATTCTGTACAATAAAATAGTTTAGGAATTACCTTAGCATTAGTTATACATTGAATTTGATTTATCTGTCCATGTCCATACTGTTTATAAAGTTGTCAACATTTGAAGGCAAGTATGATTTTAAAATATTCTATGTAGCCCACACACCGATGCACCAAACTCATATTGAGAAAAAGGCAACTGCTGACATAGAATATTCCTGTGTTCTGAGAGGACAAAATCTTTCCTCTCTCTGAATATTGCCAGACCTAGTTCCAAATGTGGATTGGAAACAGATAGAGCTTCTTGGGAAGAAATGTTCACAGTCAGAGTTGGGCAGGAGTTTCATACTGTGCTCCTGGGTTGTACCAGAAGCAAAATTTAGGTGGATTTCCATCAAAGCAAACAGGGAGGCAGCTTGCTTTTCTCCCTCCAGAGAGATGTTCTGTTCAACATGTAACCAGAAAAGATACTATCCATCTCCTTTTCTACCCAAAGGTCTCCTCTCCATGACACCTGCTGTCATTGCCATTTCTCACCCCTCAGTTCCTTTCTGTTTCTTATATCCTTTACTACAGGCCACCAAAGGAAAAAGATCCAACAGATCTTGAATTAGTCAACCAAACTATGTTTGGCAATTGTTCTGATAAGAGTCAATGGCAATGAAGTTGAAATGATTGTTTTGTTCCAAAACCAGAAATCTGACTTTAACCTGGAGAGAAACTCACTTGGCTACATTAGAAAAGTTTTTAAGTATACTGGGAAATGAAAGGACAGATGATACAAGTGCTGAAAGGAGATTCAAAGAAGAGCTTATTTTAAAAGATAAGAAGGTAGGAAAAATAGAAGGGTGATTTTGGCACCTTTATGGCTGAGTACTAGCCACAGGTAAAGCAGAATGAGGCAGAGTATTCCAGAAAAAGAATCTCAGGTTCCCTAAATACCTTCCTTGATCCTGGCTGTAAATAGTGAGCTTGTTATTAAAACGCTTGAGGTCCCATTCTACCACTATAGCTGGGTGACCTAAGGTAAGGCAGATAACCTCTCTGGAATTTATCAGCAAAGCTGGGGATTGGACCAGATGACATTTAGGTTCCTTCTCTTGTTGATGTGTCATTATATTCAAACCCCTTTAGGGAAGGAAATAGGAAAGTTATTTAGAGAAATCATATTTTCTTGATTTAATATACACAAATGGCTAGAATAATGCCTTGTGCCTAGTAAGTCTACAGAAGTGTTAGACATTATTATGCCTGATGATGAGGCTGACGAGGATGGATCCCTGCACGACAAACACATTTTTATCTCTACATCTGTAAATTTAAGGAAGACAAACAATCCAGTATTCTGATAATTTTAGAGCCCTTTCTCTTGCAAAGAACTTGATTGGAGGGGAATGACCTGTAGCTGCTGAGAATTGAGAATAACTGTCATTCATGGACGGATAGTTTGCTAAGCAAACCACCACCATGACCAAACATGAGAATGTTTTCTTTGAAAATTCAGCTTTCTTGGGGCGCCTGGGTGGCGCAGTCGGTTAAGCGTCCGACTTCAGCCAGGTCACGATCTCGCGGTCCGTGAGTTCGAGCCCCGCGTCAGGCTCTGGGCTGATGGCTCAGAGCCTGGAGCCTGTTTCCGATTCTGTGTCTCCCTCTCTCTCTGCCCCTCCCCCGTTCATGCTCTGTCTCTCTCTGTCCCAAAAATAAAATAAACGTTGAAAAAAAATTAAAAAAAAAAAAAAGAAAATTCAGCTTTCTTACTTGGCCATGAAATGGACTGGGCTGCCTTGGGAAATAGTGAGTGTCCCCTTCCCTGGATTCAGGGATGCAGACATCAGGGGACAGGGTAGACTACATTGACTTTGAAGGAACTTTCTGCCAAAGTCTCCATAATTCCAAAGCAAAGTCTACCAAATATTACAAAGTGTCCCAATGCCTGTAGGCTGCAGAGTAGCTGAGGCTGGGTTTCCACCAGAATATCTCATCCCATAAAAGCATAACATCAGTGGCATAACATTGGCTGGAACATCTTGCATCTTAAACAGTGAAGCTGTGTCTTCTAAGCCTTTAGTTGAAATGTAATTCATGGAGAGCAGTACTGAGCAATATCCTAGCTCATTCTCTCTTTTTAATGCTGAGACTGAGAATTAAAAACACCCAAGGAATAACAGAGCTGCACAATAAGAGAAGGGCCAGAACCCAGAGCTCTGGATTTTTCCTAGATCTTCCTCTCCATGAAGGGATGGAGTTACCTTGGGCTGAGGATGAATAAAAACTCATATGTGGCGTTAGAGCAAGATGGATGGCAAGTAAGACAGAAAAGGAAATAAGCAACCAGAACAGAGGGGCAAAAGGGCAGGAGATAGAGAGTTGGAGAGGCAGAGGGAGAGAAAATAAGGAAGTGAAGGGACTTTTCTAAAAAAAAAAAAGTTTATGCTCAGAATAAAAGAGATGTAGAGAGACATTTCAAAAGGAAAAAGATTGCAAAGAAAGATGGAAAGATGCATCAAGTACTAAGAAATTTAAGTGGGAGAGGATAGGGAGAAGAGACCTCCTGTCTACTCCCCGAGGATCTCGGCCTATCCAGCATGACACCAATCAGTTGTTAACATTGTAATTAGGAGCAAAGCTTCTGTCCAGCCACTTTATATCCTTTACCCCTGCTTCTCTCTGGAGGGCTCCCTCCCTCCTTCCACTTCTCTCCATTTCCTTCTTGACATCACTGTTATCACTCTTTGTTGACTGTGAGGTGGTTGGTCTGGAGAACCTTCAATGCCTTCCAACCCTCTGAGTCAAAAACTATTTTTGCTTTCATATTTCTTTCTTCTTTCTATCTATGCTATCTCCTTTATTGGGATCTGGGGTTCAGGGAATAAAGTGAAGACAAGCAATGGGAGTGGGGAAACCTCACATGACAGCTTAACTGTATGGCTATTCCTCAGCCATCTATTTTTTTTCTGGTTGAAAAAACCCTGGAAGAGTTGATTCCAGAGAGCTTGCTTGTTATCAGGTATTAGTCACCACTAGAGGCAGAAGCCCTGTTTCAGGAAAGCTAAATGTTATTTTATTAGCAACAATAACAATGATCAACTAAGTAATTTAATAGTACTTAAAGATAAAACCATAGAACCTGCCCTGGCGGGGCTCACAAACCAAAAGTGATAGCCCTAGGTCTCTCCAGTGCAATAATAATCATCACTGCCTGGTATGGAGCACCAAGGTGCTGGGGACAATGCTGAGCTTGTGACATTCATCAAGTTCTTTAATCCTCGTAACATCCCAGTGAGGCAGATACTGTTGTCATCCCCACTTTATGGATGAGGAAGTAGAAGCCTAAAGATTAAGTGATTCACCAAGATTCTTCAACCTGTGACAGATTGGGATTCAAATATGCTTGGAGGCACTTTACTAGACTTCCTCCGAGAGTCCCCTTTCTGCAACAACCAGAATCCATTTAGTGACTCAAGATTGGCTGCAAGAGTGAGGTCTCCAGATTCATCTCACTTCTATTTCAACACTTATTTCAAGGATTCATGCTTGAGAGCCACTCCCAAGCGCCCTTTCTTCCTGTGTCACCTGTGATCTAACCTGCTTCAACCTGTCTGTTCCCTCACCTGTCTG